ACACATCCACAGTTAAAGTACAAGAGAGGTAAATACATGTGGGATCAGGAAAACAAAAGATGTGGGACGGAACTGCCCGAAAATCCGAGACCAAGGAGACAGAAGACCTCCAATCCAAAAGTCAAGAGAGGAAATCCATGACTAAGAAGAGTGAGTTGGTCAGGGGATAACCCTGGACCAAGAAACCACTGATGGAAAAATTCCATTTGCATTGAGAAACTTCAATGTAACAAAGGTGAATGAAACAAGCCAGAAAAGAGACTAACCTTTAGGAGAAGCCAATTACCTTGCCAATGACCAGAGGAAAAGCCATGAGTGAAGACAGAGGACAGGAAGGTCTGGATAAAACACCAGTGACTGAGGGTGGCAAAGACGAAAAAGTAACGGAGGAGAAAGTTGGGGCTGGAGAAGCCACGAAAACCACAGCTGAGATGAAGAGCTATCAGAAGGACTGAACACGGAGTGTCAAGGAACAGGTGCAACAGCCTGATGAGACAGAAAATCTTGTACCTCCTCAGACAGATGCAGGATGGTGGCAGGATCCCAAATTATTGGGAAGGAAAAGGGTGCCAGGGACAGAGGAGGTGGGGAATGAAATAGTAGGACAAGTCCCTCTGATAAAACCTGAAGAACTCATGAAACTATATTGAAAGATCACCAAAGAGTAACAATATAAAATAGTCAAACTCCCCCTGGACCAGAACCCTACAGTTAGTTTCCGGTACTGTTGGCGACAAGCCCATCAATGTTGAATCAAACAACGCAATGAGAAACTCCTGGAAAGGGGGCAGGAACAGGTAGATAAGGGCTAGGATGGGAAAGGAATAGAGGCATGTCATGGCTCCAACTGCAACAAACGTGCAACCAAACAAGAAAGGGTCGAATGTTGATGCACAGATTACACATGAGATTCCAAAGTCTCATATACATGATCAAAAACATATCACCAAACAAAGAATACAGAAATCCCAAAAACAAGAAGGCGGCAAATGTACTCAGGACAAGGTTGCATCGTGACCCAGAAAATTCCAACTACAGTGAAACTACGTGTGTAAAGCGAGAGCCGAAGATGACAAACAAGCCAACATGGAGGTAATAAGGAATCACAGAAAACTGAAGAATTGGATAAAACATAACATATCTGAGAAATCATGTTGACAAATGTTGTATTAGATCTAGCTGATTCTGCAAGACAAGAGGAGTAGGGAAAAAACGGCAAAATCTGGTGGTATAAAAGGCTATCAAACCTTCATCAGCCTGAACAGGTTCGTCTTGTTCAGGAGGACTAGTGGGACAAGTTGAGGAGAAGGCGGCTGATCCATAAAATTAGTAATCTCATGATGGATAATAGCAGAGAAAGCCAATGGAAAAAACTTGAAAATTCCTAGTTTAAGAAAAGTCATGACATCTAATATTTGTTAATGGTGAAATGTTTCAAAACCCAATAGATCATAATAAATTACACAAAATTCCTGTATAAAAATTTCATAACAACCAAAATTAACAAAGTCGAATTTTACTGACACATTACTAGGCTTATTGCAACTAAGTAATATTCTAATATTGTATTTGCACAATGAAACTCGAGTTAAGTTTCAGAATAGAAGTGCACCAAAGAAATATTTTTTTAGGTACAGTTGGATTCAGTCTCTTTATTAAAAACAATTATCAGCACTAACTAACCACTAAAAATATTGCTTTAAAAATTATGTTTTTCTTTCATTGCATGATTAAATTACACAATTTTTGCTATACAATGTAAGACTAACAGGCTGAGATTAAAATTTACACCTTTAAGAGTAGAAGCCTAACATTGTTTAACCCTATGGTAGCCTTGTCCTCAAATTGCAACCTAACGTCACTATCATTATATTTCACTCAAAAATAAAACTAGTTGATGAAATTGTTGAAATTTGACAAGAACTTTCCTAAAGGCATGTAGTTTCTGAAAAAATAAAATTGATTATTTTTATTATTTCTAATAAAAAAATTCGTTTTGTAATGTAGTTAATTGCACTCAGACACTGAATAATTCACCTGCAAGGTGGTTGTTATATGAGGTAAAAAATACTATTATTTTACCTTACAGTTTTTAACATTTTATTTGCATAAGCTCTAGAACCTCATAAATAAAATAAAAAAATTTTAAGACAAATGTTTATATTTTATTTTCTGTTTCCTCTATGACTAACTATTTATTATCATCAACATACAGGGCAATGAAATGTTTAAAATTCTCTACAATATTCTTCTTGGTCTCCTATACATAATTTCACATCTTTATCTTTTCACTTAGACTATTTTTAATTTTTCTTTCAAATTCTTTATCTTTTACTATTTATGATGATATGTCAACTGATGCCCACAGGGCTTTATGAAGTTGTTTTGGCAGACTCCATGCTGAGACTTGTTGCAAAAACAAGATGGTGTTTATAGATGAGCTGTGTCTATAAGTTTTCACAATCCAGGCAACAAGAAGTTAAACTTATAAAAATCATTAAATATTTCCAAATGTGTGTTTTAAAACACAAATAATACATAATTTATTAAAATATAAAAGTAAAACCTAAATGCAACTTAACTGTCTATCAAACTAATACATATAAGGTGAGAAACAATTGCCAAGTGCTATGGATACATCAAGAGAACAGTGGACTCAGTTTCATTTCATCCTGTTTAAAAATAAACTTATAATCATACATTAACATCACAGTAACAACCTTGAAGAGCAAAATCTGGTCTTTCTATTGGTTATAAGCATGTCATTCAACTTCAAACTTTCGCATAACAACCCAGTTTCAACTTTGTAAGTGGCCACGGCTGACCTTAAGGTAAAGAATAATTTACAACTGTTGTTTGGGGGGGAAGAAATTCTTTAAGAGTAATGGAGACAATAATGTAAAAGAAATGTATCCGTACTTTGGCTGTCTAAAAGAGGCCTATACAGTGCAGACCAGCCCTTGAACTTGAGAAATTGTAACCGTGAGCTGATCATGACAGCAAAAACTGAAGTTTTACTTGTTGTTTTAGAGGTTTCTTTTGAAATAAAGGAATAAAAACAGATAATATAAAACTTTGAATTATAACATACATAATAATTACAATTTCATTAAAATACATTGATAGTAAAGTGGTTTAACCCTTTAACAACCACTACCCATTTTAAATACCCTTCTACACATATCACAAAGTATTATATAGTTACCTTAAAATTTAATTAAGCCAGTTTACCATCAATGTATTCTAATGAAATTACCATTATCAAATACATTATAATTCAAAGTTTTATATTATTCAAGTTATTATCCCTTTGTTGTGAAAGAAACCTCTAAAACAAACAATTAAAGCTTCAGTGTTCAGATCATGTGACTTGAATACTTTTGAAAGATTGTATGTTTGTTTGCTTATGTATCATTATAGCTCTCTCTCTCTCTCTCTCTGTACCTTTGCAACAGTCTAGTCGAAGTTCTATGCATACGAGGTCAAATTTCACACATTAGTTTCGGTTCTCAACTGCTGGAATTCTTAGGAAATTACTTTATCCCCCTCTCCCATCAGCTAGATGCCAGGCTCATGTTCCAAAGCAATCTGTTGCTAAGCAACAGTTTTTTTTCTGCCCTTGAAAAGGAATCTTATAATCAATAAAAAGAGCAGAATTCACATTTTGTCTCTCCTGGTAAATGCGATGCAAGTAATAGATTATTTTTCAAATGACAAGCATATTTCTGTTGGCATCCATTGTGGATAGCAGTGTTCCCAGCACCTGGCTATTGCTTCATGCCTTATAAATATTAGTTTGATAGACAGTTTTTAGGTTTTGATTTTACATTGTAGTTAATTATGTGTTATTTATGTTTTCAAATTCTTATTTGAAAGGTTTACTGATTTTTATAAGTTTACTTATTCATCTTGTATCTCACTGAATCTAAACATATGACATATGCAAAACATTTTTGCCCTTGGGTTAATGAATCTCCCACGAAGAGTTGTAAAAAGGCCCTAGAGCCATTATAAGATGTTTAGGCATAAATAATGAAAAAAAAGAATGGAAAGGAAAATTGAAAATAAATCATAAGTGAAAAGATAAAGATGTGTGATTAAGCATATGAAACAGAGAAGACTTCTAGTAAATTTATATGAAGAGTTGAAAGGTATGTACATATTTCCATATGTTAATTTTAAACATTTCATTGCACTGATGTTGATGATAATAGCTAGATATAGTAGTGATATAATAAGGAAAATAGAAAATAGAATAAAAACATTTATCTTTTTATCAAAACTTTTGATATTCATTTATAAGGTTCTCAAGATTATGCAAATGAAATGTGAAAACTGTAAGATATAATGTTGTATTTATATACTTCATATAAAAATCACCTTGCAGGTGAACTATTCAAAGTCCGAGTGCAAATAACTACAATAAATAATGAATTTTTTATTAGAAATAGTACAAAAAATCAAGATTAAATATTTTGTTATTGTGAAACTACATGTTTTAAGAAAAGTTCTCGTTAAATTTTAAATAATTTCACCCACTAGTAATATTTTTGTAATGAAATATAACAATAGCAATGTTACGTACTTAAAATTTCAGCAGTTATCAGGTTAAATGATGAAGAAAAAGGTAACATCAAAGTGAGTCAAGTTATCACCTACCAGTGATACCTACATTGTAACACATGTTCTAGAATCTTAACGACATCCAATCATCATGGCTCATTAGCTATGTGGACACTTTTTTTCAAAAAAGTACAGCATTTTTTAAGTTTGATTACCAATCACATTTATTATATAAATTTTCACTATGGTGTAAAAATGAAAGGCAATGTGCTAATATTCTTAAGTTTTGACCTTGACTTTATATTTATTTCTCTTCGAGGTAATTGTATGAAATTCCTATATAAAGATATAAAACCTATCCTATATTAATACAGACATGTTTTGGTATCAATGAATCATAAAGACACTATACAGAATGAAAATATCAGAACAACTACCTCAACTATTGCAGCCATGTTATTGATGGTATGTATGCCTATAAGGCCATGCACAGTTTTACGACCTTGAACATGAGCTGCCTTTGCCCAACCTTGTTCCTGAGCCTGAGTACGAAGCCACTCCTCAGCCTATTTAAACAAAAAAAAACACAAATTACATTTTCTTCAAATCAATATACAAAAAACAACATTTAACAATCATTTTGAAAATTATTTTACTCATTCTTCTATAAATAACACCAGATGGCATAATGTTTATTTCCAATGAATTATTAATCAGTGTAGTACTATTTAGTAATGCATGTCAATTATATAATATATAGCTCTTGAAAAGATCATAAGGTGAAAATATTATAGACTCCTGATTAACTATTTCAGCACGAGCTCATTACCGGGGACTGACTTCAAAACCATTTTCTGATTGTTATAGTTTTTGTGCTATAACTTTTAATACAGTAAGCACATGTTCATGAAATTTTGCAGTTTATCAGTAAATATTATATAGTCTTTCATATACAAAATATCAATTTTTAAATTAAATTTTATGATGATTTTTAAGTAATGTTTTTTCATGTCTTTTTTTCTTTTCAAATGTTGCCTGTCTATCATGCAAAGTAATTTTCATTTTAAGATTAAAAATACTTGTATGCATCAGAAAATTTTCAAATTTCACATGCAAAATCTTCATAACCTGTAGATAATTATCACACATTTTTTACGAAAAACTTTAAATTTTATTTGGTATTTTCACTATCAAATCTCTGTATGGATCGGGTCAATTTGACTGACCTCATAATCACCATAAAAAATTAGGAAATATATATAAATTATGCTTTTTTCATTCTAGAATGTTTAGTCTAAATAGCTTAAATTTCATAACATTATACATTTATATATATTTACTATTTTTATTATATTGACCTTTTCAGCCATGCCTGGCTAACATTACAGAAGTTGCAATGATGCAGTGCACGTGCACTCATGTTACTGTATCCAAGAATATAAAACTGGCTTTTACAAAGTGACCTGTCTTGGCTGTGTTTTAGTAGAGAAGTATTTTGTAAAATAAAGTCACATTTCAGTTTTAATATCTTATATATGTATGTACATTATTACTATTTACAAACAAGTTCTTAAATTTCAGTTCTTTTTCTTAAAACATAGAACAGTAAATATAAAATTATACATAACAATTATCTCTTCTAGTTATGAATTTTGTACTCGTTTGCTGCTTGCCGTAGGTTGCTAAGCTTTATCAAATTTCACACATGGGAGATGTAAAACGAAATATTTTTTTTAGGTTTTATATATACATTTTGAAATAACTAGTCATAAATTACTATATCAATACCAAAGAATTCCACTATAATTTATCAAGATTAGTAACTAAGGTGTATTTGGGTCTAAAAAATATGAAATTTCGAGCTTACTAGTCTTACCTTACCACTTGGAATCTTGTATAAAAAGGACGAGTTCCGTAACTGTACATTTCAAAAAAGCTGAGAAAGCCAATAGGGGGACATTCTGAGCTTTCGATTGGTTATTCACTCGTCACAGAAAGAAGTGTACGTAAGCAAGTGTTTACAAAAATGGAAAGAGGTGGGTGTGGCCACTGTGTTTGACTCAGTAAATGTAGCAATATCTCAGCAAATAGAAAAGATAGGAGGTATTTATTTTATATTCTAGCTTCTCAATACTGGTAATTGGAGTTCCTAATTTGCAAGAAACTATCAACATTTTATTTTAAATGCTGCATTCAACATACCATGTGCACACAAAAATTGATGTTTAGGTTTTTTATATTTTCTTTTAAATCAAAAAATACTAAAATTTAAATATAATCTACAATTTGATACCACACTTATTGACATAAATTCATAAAATAGTAGTTGAATAAAATTTTGAATGTGAGTCAACAAACGTGATGATATAGCCTTTTACCCGTGACCTGTAAATAGGGTTAAAAAAGCCGTTCCCAAACTGTACAAAAATGAGTAATTTCAACCTGTTTTTAACAAGATTACAATTATTTGTTATGTCTGTATGATGCTTATGTATCTCTCAGGACTAGAATTGCTACATACATAACAATCTTAAAAGTTTAGTACCTTAACTGCAAGTACTTTGGTTCACACCTAATAGCAATAAACTTTTATACAGTTATATTTCATGCCTATAATAAACAACGATCAAATTGTTTATATTTTGTTCTTAAAATCAAAATTCCTTTTATTTCATAAGCAAAGCATACACTTTTTATGGATATGTTATCCACCATCTGTTGTTTTTTTCCAGATGCTGTACCATATTCATTCCACATAAAATTAATAAAAATTTATACATGTATCTAAAACAAATTGATGAAGTTAAATCTTCACTCAATTACCTCACACATTTCAAGGAACCAGTGCAAATAATAAGCAGTGACTACAATAAAATTAATTGTCAGAAGTAATTAAAATAAGAGATGCTGTCAGAATGTGACAAAAAAAGAAACTTGAACAGTTTTATAAATATACATCTTTCTGATATTCTAATCTCTATTTTTTTTATTTTTTTTAATGGGTAAATTTTTGTACAGCTCTTTTCTAAAAGTAATTACACAGCCTATCAATAAGTAAATAAAGCCATTCAGAAATAATGTCACTTTATTATATAACATGAAACATATGGTACAAGATTGCCATTAGCATTTAGTGGATCTGTTTTTTGTAATATTCAAGGCAAAAACATAACTACACATTGTATTTACAAAATATAAACTTAGTCCTGTGGAAAATTGCCCCTCTTCTGGGGAACTTAGATGGTGATGTCCCTAGAAATAAGTTGTCTGAGGCACTTTCATAATGAATAATTAACATTAATACACTAACACAAGAGTGAAAACAACTAGCACCGATTCTAACCAGGTATAACATACGGAGGCCACATGTATATTTTTCAGTTAAACAAGTTATCTCTTAGGTTAAAATTCAAGCAACTTGTGTAAATATTGATATATATTAAAATATTCATACAATCAACATTGTATAATACACAATTAAAAATTTTATTTAAGAACTGATCAACAGTTGTAAAGACACTACCTGTTTCGACATTATTTACATCAACCTCAGGAGTGTGAAAAACAAGTGTTGTGTAACACAATACAAAAATCCATTGTTATGTAACTACCAGTTTACATATATAAAAAAGATCACACAATCTACTTAGTTTCTTATTTTCTAATCCTTCATCTTTATTTAATATGAAAAGAGAAATGTTAAAAAGAAAAGTGAAAACTCTGCATTAGCTGAACATGTAAATTATACTGGACATGTCATCTAGTGAGGAAAAACTTGTTTTGACTCAATTGAATAATATGACAGCTAGAAATATTAGAGAAACCATAGAAATAATATGTTCATTTACTCTATTTTAAAATTCTTCTAGTTTGATCAATGTATAAACAACCACATTCTCAATCAATTTTATAAATACCCATTTTCTCCATTAACCCTTTTGAGACGAGTCATGGGTGAAAGGCCATGTCATCTCATTTCTTGACTCGCATTCAAAATCTTATTGAACTACTATTTCATGAATTTATTTCAATAAGTTTGATATCATACTGTAGATTACAATTCAAATTTTGTACTATATATTACTCAATTTCTTAATTCAAAAGAAAATATTAAAAAAACAGATAAACATCGATTTCTGTGTGTCATGTGGTATGTTAAATGCAACACTGGTTCAAATTAGATGTTTGTGAAGTCAAAATACTAAGTCAAAAGTTTCGAACGAATTAAAAACACAAATTACCGGTATTGACAAGCCCACTTCTTTCCATTTTTGGAAACACTCCCTTTTATACACTTACTTCTGAATAACCAATCGGAAGATCAGAATGTCCCCTAGTGGCTTTCTCAGCCATTTTAATGCATTTGACACATTTTCTTTCTTTTGAACCATTATTTGAAGGAGGTAGGGTGTTTCTTTAGTCTGCTCAAAATTTCATCTTAGTTACTAAGGTTCATAAATTAGTAGAATTCTATGGCATTGATGTAGTAATTTATGATTTTTTAGTTATTCAAATGCATATATAAACCTAAAAAAAATATTTTGTTTCATATCCTCCACATGCAATATTTTTAAAGGCTTAGCACCTATGCCAAGCAGCAACCAAGTACAAAGGTCGTAACTAGAAGGGATAGTTGTTTGCTTTACTTCTTTATTTACTGTTCTATGTTTTAAGAAAAATAAGTTTAAGAACTTATTTCAAAATAGCAATAATCTATATATGTATATAATGTATAACAATTGAAATTTGACTGTATTTTACAAAATACTAGTCTACTAAAACACAGCCATGATAAGTTACTTTGTACAGACCAAAGGTCAGTTTTATGTTATTTGATATGGTAACACGAGTGCACGTGAACCGCATCATTGTAACTTCTGTATTATTAGCCAGCCACGGCTGAAAGGTCAATATAATAAAAATAATAAATATATATATAAATGTATAATGTTATGAGATTTAAGCTATTTAGTCTATACATTTATGTTTTCATTTTATAATCTGTGTTCATTCTGGAATGAAAGAGACATAATTTATATTTATTTCCTAATTTGTTATGGTGGTTGCGAGATCGGTCAAATCTACCAAACCCGTACAGATATTAATTACTAAAAATAACCCAAAAAATATAAAATTTTTTCTTAAGAAATGTTTGATAACTATCTGGGCATTATAAAGATTTCGCATGTGAAATTTCAAAATGTTCTGACGCATAAAATGAATATTACTTTGCATGATAGATAGACAACATGTGAAAAGAAAAAAGACAGGAGAAATATATTGCTATATAAACCTTAAGACTTAATAAAAATAATTTATATTTTGCATATGAAAGCATTGTAATGTTTACTGACAATCTACCAAATTTTGTTAACATTTGCTTACTAATTTAATAGTTATAGCATGAAACTATAACAAGCACAAAATGGTTATGAAGTCTGTCCCAGGAACCAAGCCCCTGCTGAAAGAGTTAAATGTAATTTATCTTTAGTTTTATTTAACCATTGACTAATTTAATTCAATGGTACATAAATGGGAATGAGATTTTTTTTTCTTTCAGATTTATGAAAAATTGGACATGACAAACCTGGGACATATGGTAAAAACATTTATTTTTTTATCTATTTCATCAAATGTTGATTTTAGTTTATTTTTTTTGAACATCATTTGTTATTTTGTTAAATTTTCTCACAGCTGTATCAACAACTTGAAGGAAGAAACCTCTATCTCAAGCTACATATTTAATTTATAACAGTTCATTTTTAAATGTTCTGAATTAGAACATAGCTTTACAGACCTATAAACATACAAGTAAAAAAGCTGACATTTTTTTTATTACTTTGTATGACATGATTCTTGGTATGGCAGCATGATAACAGAAAAAGGTTTATGACAGACTGTAGTTTCCAACTTATTTTTGTGTTTCTTAACTAATACATCCAAAAACAGTAAACTATTATTTTCTTCAACTTCATAAGTAAATTGAATAATGGGTTCAAGACTATTTAAGTAATTAGCAAAAACTAGTAAGGCTTCTTTACCACGTGTCCCCACACCACAAAAGTGCCATTGACATACCTAACCCACATTTCTGGTTTATGTTTAGCATTCTGTAAAGCATCAGTTTCAAATTTATCCATGAAAAGATCATACTGCAAGGGAGATAATGGAGAACCCACAGCTAGGCCTTCAGCATGTTTATAGATCTCGTTATTAAATTGGAAAATATTAATTTCCCACTCAAGTTTTTGCTAATTTTATCATGTTTAAAATTTCAATGACTGGCACATTGTCCTCTTGTAATTCATCTTTAAAATAATTAATAGCTTTATCACTAGGGTTTTTGTATTTATATGTTGCACAGAATTTGTTTTTCACACTCTGAGGTTGACATGAATAAAGTTGAAACATGTAATGTCTTTTAACAACCACTGACTAGGTTGACAAATAAAAGTTGAATTGTGTATTATATAATGTTGATAACTTGCATATTTTAATATATTTTAAGGTACCTCTTCATTACTGAATCAAGGTTAACTGTTCTAAAATTATTTATATGTTAAAAATTAATATAATGATATAAAGTGAAACTTTCTAAATTAAAAATCTTTTGGGATTTTATGGTACTTAAGTCATTCTAATTCTACAACTTAATATGTTGTTGTAGTAATGGTTCTCTTCATTTCAGTGGAAAATGATGTTCCTAACGAAAAAGAAACTGAAGATTATTTAGAAAAAACTTTGCCTTTGTGTAAAACAGCCAAAATCCCTAAGCACAATACACCTTAGTTATTAGAAGCACTACAGTTGAGAAGAATCAGTTGGAGATACAATGAGAATATTATTGTCAGTTCTAAAGATTACTTTACTCTGTGAACTTTGTAAAGTTTGAACTTTAAAAAGGAAGTTATCTTTCAAGATCTAACATTGTATACCTACAAGTAATCTTGAGATAAAAAAAATTATATAAATATATATATATATTTTTTTTTAATATATAATAACTATCACACTGACCTTCTCAATATTTCCTTCAAATTTATCCAAAGCTTTCTTACAATTTGTGAAAGAATATCCAGTTGTTTTCCGTAGTTTTGCCAAAGCAGATTTGTTAATGGCTCTCCAACGTCCGGTAGTATGAAAAAATCGACAAAAGTCTTGAAATAACATATTTCTTCATAAGCTGAAAAAACACGTCATAAAAAATATTTAAAAGCATAGATTACATTAAATAATACATGGTCTGGAAAAATAAAATATTTTGTCTGTGAAAAACGTTTTCCAAAGACAAAAATAATTCAAAAGAACTTTCATCATCACCTGCCAATTTAGTTTTAAAACAGTAACACAAAATCTCAGGTAGTTGTGAAATTTTTTTAAATACCATAGAATACAAAGCAATAAAAACGTTGTAATAATTCTTCACAACCTCATTTACAAATTCACTATGAAAAAATCATTAAACAGATTTATTACCTAAATATGTCTTTAATATAAACAATGTCTTTAAAAACAGTAAAGAAAAATATAAATATGTATTACTAAATCAATATAGGTGAAATTAATGACTTTCATGCCTCAAATGAAAAAGTTTTAAAGGAAATATTCTTTTTAAACATGTTCACAATTCTCATACATACAACTTTAAAAGTTAATTTGATTTCCACGCTAAAGTTTAGCACGAGGTAACGTTTCCCTTCTTCCAATTAAGTGGTCCTTTCAGGGTATGTTTGTCAGGCCATCCTTAATTCCATATGTATGGAATGAGAATCATTATACTGTTATAAAACTAAGGAGTACTTAGATATTAATATGTATTTGTTGAAATTGCATTTTTCTATTTTTTTGTGTGTGTTTCTTAACTAATACATCCAAAAACAGTAAACTGTTATTTTCTTCAACTATACAAGTAAATTGAATAGTGGGTTCAAGACTATTTAAGTAATTAGCAAAAACTAGCAAGTCTTCTTTATCAGGTCACCACTTTTTGACACATTTCTTAATATTATGTTGAAGTTAGTTCCCACTATATTCCTCAACAATTAGCATGAGCATAAATTAATATGCTCAGTATGATCTCTACTGGTTTGAAGGGTTCTTCACATCAGATACCACAGAAGTAGCAAGCAAAAAAGGATATGCTCACAAAGAGATGTATCTATTTCAGGTTGCTGCTGAGTCTGGAGGTAAACAAGGGGAAGACACCATGGAAGGGAAGTTTGAAATACAATGGCCCAACCATGCAAAAGTCAAGATATTCATTTTTTTTTTTTTGTAAAACCACACGCAGATATGAAAC